AGAAAGAAAGAAAGAAAGAAAGAAAGAAAGAAAGAAAAAGAAAGAACAAAAAGACAGCCAGGCACCAGCAGCTTACAACTATAATCCAAGCTACTCATGAGGTTGAGAGCTGAGGATCACAGTTTGAAAACAGCTGGGCTGTCAAGTCCCAGGAGCTGTATCTCTAAATAAACAGTCACCTCCCTAGAAAAGGTTGGATGGACTGGATACATGACTCAAGTGATACAGTGCTAGCCATCAATGAAAAAGTTCAGTAAGGGTATGAGTCCATGAGTTCAAGCCCTTACACCACCACACCAACCACACCATCACCAACACAAAGTCCATGGTACTTTATTTTTATTTTTTGGTGGAATAGTGGTTTGAACTCAGGACTTGTTTGACAGAAGGTTCTCTATTACTTAAGCCAGGCTCCCAGCCCTTTCCTTATTTTTCAAACAGGGTCTCACATTTATGCTTAGGTGAGCATGAACCTCAATTCTCCTAATTATACTTCATTTATTTCTTTACTGTTATTATAAAGGTGATGCATAGAGGGGTTACGGTTAGGTAAGTCAGGTAATGAGAATATTTATTTATAATTATAATTCTTGCACAGCTATATAATGACAGGCATTCATCACTACATCCATCCTTTTATTGGCTAAAATGGGGCCCCAATACATTTTACCCAAATGGACTGAAACTGGGATGTTGCTAATTGTAACCTCAGGAGCTTGGATTACAGGTGTGAATCATTGTGCCAGGCTCAAATTGGATTTCTTTACATATGAATCATTCTCAGAAAGAATCATGTAGTGTTCTGGATTTTAGAGGAACAGTCTTTGGCTTTCACTGCTGATAGTTATAAATGGAGTTTATTATGTTAATGCGTATTTCTTTTACATCTAACTTGTCTGTAGTTTCTTTTTTTTTTTTGGTCGGTTGTGGGGCTTGAACTCTGGGCTTGGGTGCTGTCCCTGTGCTCTTCAGCTCAAGGCGAGCACTCTACTGCTTGAGCCACAGCACCACTTCCTGTCTGTAGTTTCTTTTTTGTCAGTTGTGAGGCTTGAACTCTGGGCCTGGGCATTGTCCCTGCGCTCTTCAGCTCAAGGCAAGTGCTCTACCACTTGAGCCACAGCGCCGCTTCCAGTTTTCTAGTGGTTTATTGGAGATAAGAGTCTTATGGACTTTCCTGCCCAGGCTGGCATTGAACCGTGATCCTCAGATCTCAGCCGAGTAGCTAGTATTACAGGTGTGAGCCATTGGCTCCCGGCTGGAGTTTTATTTCTTTAATAAGAGGTAGAAGGTTAGTAAGTATTTACACAGGATAAAGTAGAGAGAGGTTAAATAGTGAAACATTTCCTGTTCCACAGAGGAAATGGCAGGTGAAGACTCCAAGTGATTAGTTTTGTTATTTATTTATTTTTTGGTCTGGTCATGGGGCCTGAACTCTGGGCCTGGGTGCTGTCCCTCAGCTCTTCAGCTCAAGGCTAGCACTCTACCACTTGAGTCACAGTGCCACTTCCGGCTTTTTTGCCCCTGCTTATGTGGTGCTAAGGAACCGAACCCAGGGCCTCATGCATACAAAGCAAGCACTCTACCACTGAGCCACCTTCCCAGCCCTAGTTTTGTCATTTTTTTAAGATCATGAAAGTATGATTTTGTTAAGTGCTAGGATTATAGGCTTAAGTCACTGTTCGACTAGTCCATAGTTTTCGAAAATCCTATGTGCCATCTGCTGAAAACGGGCTCACTGGCCATTAAATACAGTTCTTATTGAGGAGCTTTTACATGGTGACACTAAGTTTCTTGTGGTCATGGATTTGACATTTCCTTATCTCCTCCTACCCCAGGAGAAGTGAGGAGAAAAGAACAGAAAAACAGAAGGAGTGATAAGGCTCATGATCACAGTGGAACAGGCCAAAGGCAATTCCCTGGAGTTTCTTTAGTGTGGATGCCTAAAGAAGTTTCCAACAAGTATTTCTTCTTGGAAGCTAGTAGGACCTTTCCTTCAACACCTTATACCTATCAAAAGCATTTAGCATATTACTTTATTTATATTGCTATCCCACTGTGTACTCATTCCTCACACACAAAACCTGGCCCAGTACCAATGACAAGCCAGTTATGGAGTGAGAAAGCAGACACCTTGTGAAATTTTCAAGACCTAAAACCATTTAGGTTCAGATGGTTAACAGCTGCCCCAACTTCTACCTCACACACTCAAACTTTACAAGAAGAGGTGACAGAGCTCACCAAGAAATTTGATATAATGCCAGGATCTACTCTTAACCACTGCAGTGCGGCTCATTCCCTCAGGATGGCTGTTCTCTGCCTCTGTTTTCCCACACCCACAGATTACTTCATGTTCTTCAGACATTTGGCTCTGGGTTCACTTCTTTTGTCTCCCCAAAGCCAGACCTGAATTAGCCTCAATCTAGCATCAGTATAAACCACAGATAATGGAATCTCAGGGCTTTTACTTTGGCAGTCACAAGATAGAATGCAGTGATCCTTGTTTTCTCTGAGATTGGGTCTCAGTTTGGTTTTCTGATTTATATATATTAAGAAAGCCTGAATTAAGTATCTAGTTTCATACTGCCATTACTCCTTTAAATGAATCCTGTTCTTAAATCTTGGGTTTTTCTATTCCTAGTGTGACTAGCAATTTGATGTCAAACGGAGTGGGGGGGGGGAAGAGACTCCTTGAAGACAAAAGATGCTTGTGACACCGACACTAGGTATAAAACTAGATTCTGTAACCCCCCTTTGCTCCAACAGTTTCCTAAAGGGCCTCATCTGCAACGATGACTTTCTTGGCTATCTTCTGTCCTGGCTACAGGACTTTGCATGGTAACTTCCACTTCAGCTGCACATTTGACTCTTTCAGTGCTGAAAACTGTTCCAAGGGTTTGTCACTACTTTGTGTTGAGGTTCACATGTGGAAATTATTAATATGAGTAATAATAAATATGGGAGTCCTAGAGCCCTGTGAGGATGTAACTGGCTACAGAAGATGTGACTAGTGTGCTTGGGTGATACCAGTGGAAAACCCTGGTTGGGTGGTTGTTTATATTTATAGCTAAGTATGGGATTATGAGTTTGTGACCTCATGCTGTAATCCTGTCAAAAGACAGGAAGAGTCTCTGCATGGACTTATACCACTGCTTCCTGGCTTCCTGTTATCTACCTCTTGGAATGTGCTCTTTTATTTTCCCCATAACTCTCTTAAAGCCTGGGGCAAACTAAACCTATAGAAGTGGAGGCTGGGGAAGACATCCTCAGTTTATCATGTCTGTCAGTTATCGCATTATTAGAAGATTATTAGGTAATACTGCATAGGCATATTCTTCATCTGTCACCTTGGAATCTGCTGGTCAAAACCAGCAAATAAACACAGCTAATCTTTACAGGCTCTCATAAAACATTATGATAAGACTGGTAGGTATTTTAAAAATTCTTTTTAGAAAGCTAATGAAATGTCTTCCGTTTTACAAATGAAACCCAGGTTTAAAGAAGTTAGTTTACCCAAGAGCACACATTAGCATCTCACTAGTTCACATTTAATGCAGACATGTCTGCATTCTTAAATGCTGAAAAAATAATAAACTGCTAACTATAATAGTATAATAATCTTTTTGTGCCGGTACTGGGGCTTGATTCTAGGGCTTCAAGTTTTCTCTTGGCTTTCTTGCTCATGGTTGGTGCTCTACCACTTGAAATTTTTGCTGGCTAATTGGAGATGGAGTCTTAAAACTTTTTGGCCAGAGCAGGTTCAATTACAGGTATAAGCCATGGGTGTCCAGCTAAAATAATCCTTTATGGGAAAAAAATCAATCATTATGAATGAAAATCTGTTTCTTTTTATGTACCCTTCAATAAATGTATGTTTAGGAATTGTGAATATGTACGCTACAGTAATACATTAAATATAGTATAGGATAAACTCTAAAATGGTATAGTTTAAGTGGTAAAGTGACTGCTTAACAACCACCAAGCCTGAAGTTCAGACACCAGGATAGCAAAGAAAGAAATAAGCCAAGAAAGAGGAGATAAAGTAAACATAAATCCTAACTTTTTTTCTGCATCCCTAAATGTTAGACATCTTGTCCATTTCCTAGGCAGGATCATTCTGAAAACTAATCAGCTAAATTAGAGCATCTCAAATATTAATGTGCATATGAATTACCTAGCTATCTTGTTTTTAATTCTGATTCTGATTCAGTATGTTTGGAGTGGTCCTTCTTAGTTATGTTAATATTGCTCAATACTGGGACACACTTTAAGTAACCAGAATTTAAATAAGAGATTTTTAGCCAGGAGGTAAAATAAATAGCTGGTTCTAAAGTCAACTTTGAACTGAAGTCAAAATTGAAAAAAACCGAACTACTTAAAAACATACAACAATCATTATAAACATTAATGAAGTTAAAGAAATATTGGAAATGTAGATTATGATGATCACTCAGTGTAAATTTGGCTAAAATGAGTACAATATAAAAAATGACTTTGTTCTCATACAGTTCTTTTCTATCACCAAAGACAAAATAAATAGGAATAAAAAATAAAAATTAGGAAAAAGTTCGTTAAAACATATGTAATATCATCTGCTTCCAACATCATAAAATCAGTATGCAATAAGTCTGTAGTTAATATTTTAGGTTTATAACAACAGAATTACAGCAGCTTGTTTCATTGTTTAATTTGGATACAAATGATGGCAACATAAAAATTCCAAAATATGCTATTTTTAAAACCTAGCTGAGATTTACACAAGTTTAAAAGGTCAGTTTAAATGTAGAATAAGACCTATATGAAACTTAGACAAATGCAGAATATAATCGAAGGAAAGCAGAAAGCATTTCTGTCTTATTATCAGTCTTCTAGATCCCTAACAAAACTCTAAGGTTCTCAGACCACTGACTGTGTAAGACCATTTCATCTTGATTCTCCATTGATTTCTAACAGTCAAATACACCACACAACAACTAATATCATGCTTGCATTCAATTATTTACCTTGTCAATCATTTTTCTTGCTTCCACTTCCTCACTGTTGGGATTCTCTAACTCAATGGTATAAGTACCCTTGTCACTTTGGTCATCATCATTATCCTTTTCTGAAGTGGCAGAAGTAGCTTGATTTTTTAACATTTTATCCATCTCCTGGCTTGGTCTGTGCCCAAGACTCCCTGAACTTCTTAATAATGCAGTTTGTAGGAAGGGTATTGACACCGACGGCTCCTCTGATTTCTGTTTTAACAATTTCCCATGTGGAACACCATGCCCCCCTCTGTGATGCGCAGAGCTAGTCTGTAAAGACAAAGAAACCACTTTGGCATCTGCTGTTGTTGATTTTGTTTTTTCAAGTTTTGTATGTGGTGCTGAATACGTAGTTTCCTGATGAAGGATTCCTGTATTTTGAGTAACAAATGTGACCTTTTTCTGAAACTTTCTTCATCAATAAATGCAATCATGCCTGGCTCCAGTGGCTCACACCTGGAATCCTAGCTACTCAGGAAGCTGAGATCTGAGGATTGTGGTTCAAAGCCAGCCTGGGCAAGAAAGTCTGTGAAACTCTTATCTCCAATTAAGGACCAAAAATTAACAACAACAACAACAAAAGCTGGAAGTAGAGCTGTGGCTCAATGATAGAACACTGGCCTTGAGCTGAAAAGCTCAGGGACAGCGCCTAGGCCCTGAGTTCAAGCCCCAAGACTGGTACAAAAAAGAGAAAAAAAAGAAAAAAAAAGCAACAATAAAAGCAGATTAACTTACAGCAGGTTGATCTTGATGTCTTTCAGCAGCCTGGACCTTCTGCAGCTTCTTCTGCTCAGAGTGGTGGCGTCTTAAGTGTTCCTCGAGAGCAGCACGCTTGCCACCACGCCTGTGTGCCCCAGCGTTCTCTGAATCACTCTGTGTACCATCATCATGTTTATTTCCTGGACACAAGAGAGAAACCACATAATAGAGAAGAAAAGAGTCCCATGTAGAAAATTAGAGGCATATACAAAAGTGCTGTTTGTTTTGGCTCCCTCCCCCTTTTCTATCCAAAGTCATATGTTCTTTTCAGTAACAGGCTCTGCAAACTTCCCTCAACTGCAATGGCTACATTCAAATTTTATCAACCAACAATGAGGTCCATTATAAACAACTGAATCAGATTACTTTTCTTTCTCCAAATCTTCACTTTATAGATCCATCAGTGTCTTAACAGATAAGCCATGTTCTATCATCTGTTATAGTTTGTATTCATAACTCAATACACATTGCTTCTGTCTCCAAATCTTAAAAATATTTAATAAAAATTAGTCTAACATTAGAATGCAAGAAAGACAAGAAAGAGGGTGATACTATTAAAATGCTTATTATGAAAAGAGAACACAAATACTATAAAATGTGTTAAGTCTTCATGTGTGGTAATACTGAATACTATGAAAAGTCCAGCATCCCCTTGCTTTAATAAAAAGATTCTTACTAGCAATAGCACAATGCTTCCATTTTTTCTTAGTATGATAATTTCTAATGGCTTTAAAGATGGCTTAAAGAATGCTAATAGGTCTATCACGGAAAATAATAATTACAACTTTTTTTTTTGCCAATCCTGGGGTTTGAACTCAGGGCGTGGACACTGTCTCTGAGCTTCTTTCTGCTCAAGGATAGCACTCTACCACTTGAGCCACAGCACCATTTCTGGCTTTTTCTGTTCATGTGGTACTGAGGAATCAAACCCTGGGCTTCATGCATATTAGGCAAGCACTCTACCACTAAGCCACATTCCCAGTCCAGCTATGGGATCTTTAATCTTTGCACCTCTAGGCAAATAACATAGGGCTAAATATAAACAGATTTCCTCAACGTAAAGCATCTACAGTCAAATTACAATATTTGAATTTAGAAACATTTTCTTCAGTTTTTCCTGTATTAGAGCAAGTAAAAACCATTAAGTAGTTAATTAACTCAGAGTTCTTTAGAGACTAGATGTGACACTATTAGAATCATTTGACCTTTTACTGATTTAACTTCAATTTGAAATTTTTTCCTACCTAAATAATAATTACATTAGAATAGCCAGCTGGGTGTTGGTGGCTCACTTCTGTAATCCTAGTTACCCAGGAGTCTGAGAGGCAAGAATCATGGTTTGAAGCCAGCCTGGGCAGGAAAGTCTGTGAGACTCTTATCTCCAATAACCAAAAAGCTAAAAGTAGAGCTTTGGTTCAAATGGTAGAGTGCTAAGCCTTGAGCACAAAAACTCAGGGACAGTGCCCAGGCCCTGAGTTCAAGCCCTAGCACAGGCACACAAATATACACCCCACCCCGAAAAAAAAAGATAATCACAAATCAGTGTTTAAATAAATGATTTCATTGAAAGCTACAAAGAATCTGGTACATCAGAATGTACATTGGAAGCACATTACAATGCTTCCAGAACTAAAGATGATTTTTAAATATTTCTGGGTTACAAACTTTAATGCAAATGAATGCCTGCTCAATAATATTATACCTGACAAAATAATGAGCAAAAGTGAAAGGCTGAGGGAGATGGAGGACATCAAGCCCTGCCTAGGGAAAAAGTTGAGTTTCAATGCTCTTGGGTTTGTTCTTAACCAATTTAGAAGCTAATAAGTAGCAGTAACAAAACATAAGTAAATTACTTGTAAAAATGTGCTACATGTAAGGAATGAGAAGACTCACCAAGTAGCAGAAAACGATGATGTTTTAGAAATGTAAGAAAAATAAAGATCAAAGCTAAGGGACTTTGGGAGAATGCCTACCTAAGTGATAGTGATTAGTATCATACAAAATCAAAATACTCGGGCTGGGAAGGTGGCTCATTGGTGGAGTGCTTGCCTTGCATGCATGAGGCCCTGGGTTCGATTCTTCAGCACCACATAAGCAAAAAGAAAAAAAGCTGGAAGTGGCGATGTGGCTCAAGTGGTAGAGTACTAGCCTTGAGCTGAAGAGCTGACAGCGCCCAGGCCCAGAGTTCGGGCCCCATGACCAGACCTCCCCCCCCAAATCAAAATACAACAAAATTAAAACTCTGTGAATCATTATTCAAATTACAATATATAAAGAAAAAATGTGTTTAATGAAATCCCTGCCTCAGATAATCTAGAAATCATATAGAGCGGAGGAAAACAAAACTGAAATATAGCCCTAATTCAAATACAAAATTCATTGAGAACATCACGTTTACCACTTATCTTACTTTACATTGGATATAATGAAAAGGAATCCAATTTGAAATAGCCAGAAATAACAAAATTCCAATTATCTCCTATATAATAAGACCAACATAACCCATAAGAAACTTCCACTTAAATGTTTTAATAAAAAATATGATTGCTATAGAATTTACATACAAATTCTGGCCCTTTTGGATATCTTTCATGTAAATTATAGTTTAAAACATTTTATAGAGATAAGCCATTTTCTATTTGGACCATTATTTTTCTTTCTGTATCAGGGAGATAACTAAATAGAGCTACAACCTTCTGTATTTGAATATAAAGATCACTTAGGAATTCTTTACCAAGCTTTCCCAGCTCCTGCTATCATTAGCCATGTCTAGACACACAGAAGTTCTTTTCAGTTAGATTGGCTTAGATGTACTTAGTAGCTGTAGCTAAAAGAAGCTGCAACTCTCCTAAAGGGTGAAAGTGTATGGGCTTTGTGAACATTATTTTCCTCACTGTCCCAAAGCGCGTGCACTTTACTCTTGTAGGAGCAAGGTATTTTTGTTTTGTTTTGCTTACTTTAATTGTTTAAGTAAACAGGTGAAGTCTAATCTTGGTAAAATGGTTATTACTTGCTAATTGTATTTATTTGGACTCTGAGTTATATCTTTTGACATGCTAACCATTAAGAAAAGATTGTTTTATAACTTGGTAAGTAAATAACTACGGTTAATGTAGTGATACAGTGTGCATGTGGACATCAATGTGTATTTGTCACAAATGGGCTCTTTTTCAAGAGCAGAGAATGATAGCTTAAAAACAGCAGCAAATACAGAAAACTATTATAATGACTAAAAAGGATTTAAGTAGTTTTTTAGAAAATGGTATGCTCTTTTTTATTTTTGCAGTCCTGGTGCTTGAACTCAGGGCCTAGGCGCTGTTCCTGAGCCTCTTTGTGCTCAAGGCTAGTACTCTAAGGCTAGCACTCTATCACTTGAGCCACAGCTCCACTTTGGACTTTTTCTAAGTAGTTTACTGGAAATAAGAGTCTCACAGACTTTTCTGCCTGGGCTGGCTTCGAACCATGATCCTCAGAACACAGCCTCTTGAGTAGCTAGGATTATGGTTGTGAGCCACTGGCACACAGCTAGAAATAATAATAATAATAATAGATAATTTCTTATGTAGTTAAGTGTGGTTTTAAAAAAGATTTTCTAAATTTTCCCTTCATACTACCATTTACCATCAGCACATTATGATATGTATAGCTTTTAGTTGTCAGCTTTAATTGTTTGCAACTATATATCTATATTATCTAGTCTAAAAGTAAAACAAAAAATCATAATCAAGTGTGAAAAGTACACATACCACTTAATTGTTGATGACTATAAGGAAATATTCTAGGGGGAGAGGGGGAGAATGGGAAGGGATGGGAAGGGGAAACAAAGGAGGAGGCTACAATGCTTGATAAGAAATGTACTGATTATCTTGCCCATGTAATTGTAACCCCTCTGTACAGCTTTTTCACAATAAAAAAAGGAAATATTCTAATAGGTGCCAATAAAGAATTAGCAAATTATATCATCTTACTATCCTAAAATGTCTTAGGAACAAATCAGAAATAAATATAAGGTTTTCATTTCTTCATTACTTGAACAAAATCCTAGGATATAAGGAATGTGTTGTCAGTGTAAATCCTCTCATTAACAGTGAAGTCATTCATTGTTTGTTCAAATTGCTCAGTACCTATCACATGCTCAAGTCCCAGATAACGTGTTAAGTTATAAAGTATGGTTCTTAACTTAAAAGAATATATTTAAAAAAACTCATTAACATTTAATGAAGGCATAGAATAACCAGATTAACATACAGTCACAATTTGTCCAAAATCATTTATGAGTAGCTTATTAAATATACAGTAACATATATCTGTGTTTAATAATTCTATAAAAAATTCAACTAACAAAACTAATGGGAAAAATGTATCATTTGATACCATCACAGTACAAAGTTCTGTGCTCATCCTTGGCCTTGAGCTCAGTACTATGCATTGTTTCTCAGCTTGTTTTGCTCAAGGCTAACATCCTACCACTCTACAGCTACTACAGCTCTACTTCCAGATTTTTGGTAGTTAATTGGAGATGAGAGTTTCATGAACTTTCCTGCTCAGGCTGCCTTTGAACGGTGATCCTCAGATCTCAGCCTACTGAATAGTGAGGATTACAGACATGAGCCACCAGCATCTGGCAAAGACTTTTTAAAGTATTTTGGCCAAGCATTATACTATTAAGGAATATAATAATTTCACAAATGAACATTAATCTGTGATTCTCAGTCTTAATATGAAGAAAAATTTAGATTGATATACCCCATATTTCTCAATAAAAAGTTATGTTTTATGAGTAACTATAGAGAAATAAATAGTTTGACATAATCAATGGTGCAACTATATTATAAAAGTGGAACTTTTGGGTCATAAACAACAGCTTAAATTTTTTTTTAAAATCTAGATATTAATATTTTCCTAGAAGCAGTACATAGAGAATAGAATTGTATGTATCTTTTCCTTAAAACAAGAAAATGATGGTAATTATCTTCTAGGGAATTCCACTGGTGAGCTAAGTTTTATATTTCCATAGGAAATATAATTTAATGACAAATCAAAATTCACAAAACCAATTTGGTTTTGGCAAGAAAATGAAGAAATACTATTTTTGAGTGAATAAGTTGGATATGGGCAACACAGCTTGCTTCTGAGCTTTAAAATTAAATGTAAACTTTGAAAAAGCAACTCTATGATTCAAATATCTAATGGCTTGATAATTATGAAGGTCAAAGTTTTTGGGTTTTTTTATTAGACAATACGAAGTTCTGAAATGATCAATTCACTTTACCTTTCAACCTTTTCAAGTATACTGGAACATCACTTTTAATACTTTTAGAATCCTCTTCTGTTCTTTCCCATACCATTTGAGGAGGGTTGTTTTGTGCTAGCCAGTCAGCTACTTTGTTTTCTGGTGCCATCATTCCAGTTTGAATTCCCGGCAAGTCTTGAGTCCCAGGAGAAGACTTCTTCGACTTGTGGCGCTGATCAGAAGTAAATTTTGTCACATGGTCTCTAATAGTTACCTTTCCTGGGGTACTGTCATCAAATTCAATGGTAAATGAAGCATGCCCTGCACCTGTTGTATGGGAACTTGGTGTGTCTTTTGTTGGGATCTCATGAATAGTGCTCTCTGTAATTTGTGATGGCTGCTGGAATTCTTTTGTAGGGATTTCAAAGTAACTTGGTTCCCTACAGAAAGGAAAAAGTGCTTCTTCATTTGCAGCTGCAGACTGCTCCTCAACTTGCTTGGCATTTACGCTGCATCCTAATGAGAAAAATAAGAGAGAATTCAAAATATTTGGGGACTTCTAGTATTTGAGGGACATTGGTAATGACCATTTGCATTTCTCTCAGAGAATCAGAAGGCTGATTATAGCTTCGATGAACAGTGTCATTTTTAACATAGAAAAGAAAGTGATAGAGCACTTGGCCCTAAGTTCAAACTCAGGTATCATCAGAAAAATAAAAGTAACAGAGAAGAAAGAATGTGGATTATGAACATGCAAGATAAGCAGCAGCAATGGCCAAGGACAGCAAGGGATAATCAAGAGATGGACCTTGCACAGATAGATCCATCATTTTCCCAACTTGATCTAGAAATCATCAAGGTGCAAAAGATTTGAAATCAAATGGAGATGGAGATACAGGTCCAATATAAATATTGCAGGATGGATAGAAAAAGCATGAAATTTTTTCATCAAGTTAGCAGGATGAGATATTGAAATATTTATGAACAAATTAGTGCTCCAATGGAGAACAGGTATTCAAATGAGGATGCAAGCATGAAGTAAAAGGGTAAGTTGTGTTTTGGAAGTAATCATCACACTTACCATTCTTTACCATTACACTAATGATATTATGTTTAGGATGTCAAAAATAATATTACTTCTTACATTTTATAAAGACCAAAGAATGATCAGGTAAAATATTTGGTTTGTTTGTAGCAAAACAGTCCAAGCAACAGTTTGAAAGTAATAATGTAAAATTAGACAACTCAGTTGCCAGTCAGTAATTCTGAAAGAAAATTATCTTACATTTGTATATAGCACAATGTGCACAAGAGACCAAAAAAAAAATCTTCGGAGGAAAGATGAACTGTAAATCTCAGAAAAGTAACAGCTGGAAAGAGGAGCAAGCAACTATGAAATGTTAAATTTTTGTGCTGTCTCTAAACAGAAAGGCATGAAAACAGATACTTTTTCAAGTAAGATACATAAAGCATGTAAATGAAATAACTAAAATGCCTTATATTGTGTGTTATTGGGTAAGGCAAACGCACAAGAAAAAATTAAAATAAAACAAGAGCCAGGCACTGGTGGCTCATACCTATTACCCTACCTACTGAGGTGGCTGAGATCTGAGGACTACAGTTAAAGCCAACCTGGGCAGAAAAGTCCCTGTGAGACTCTTTATTTCCAATTAACCACTCAAATACTGGAAGTTGAGCTGTGGCTCAAAGTGGTAGAGTGCTAGACCCTTGAGCAAAAAAACTCAGTGATAGTGCATAGGCCCTGAGTTCAAGCCCCATGACCACTACCACCACTACCAACAACAACAAAGAGTAAAAGAACTGTATCTATTATTGAGAATCAATTAAGTAGCTTCAAATATTCAATCTTTTGGTGAGATTCATCAGTTGCAATAATTGATTTCTTGATAGCACTCTGAATATGAGACAATCATAAAATTGTCTGGTTAGGCTATAAAAGAACAGAATTAACATCCCTGTAATCAAATGTGGGGTAAATATAGAAGGCATTAAGCTCTGTTCCTATAATAATAATAAACGTGAACATATATTGTCAATACAAGAATCTAGTATGGCATGGTAGATCTTGCCTATAATCCCAATTACCTATAATCCCAGAGATCAGAGGATGGTGGTTTGAGGCCAGCCATTAACAAAACATTTGTAAGATCCCTATCCTAACCAATATGGCAGCACAAGACAGTCACCTGATTTGCATGGAAGATTATACAAAGCAAGAATAAGATAAGAGGACTAAGAATCTAAGAGGCTAGCCTTAGGCAAAAATAAGACCCTATCTGAAAAATAGCCAAAAGCAAAAAGGGCTAAATGCATGACTCAAGTGATAGAGTGCTTGCCTAGCCCTGAATTCATACATTAGAACCATCATCAAGAAAAAAAGAAAAAAATGTAAACAGAAGGCCAAGAATATTTCAGGACAACAATTTTAATATAGTTATTATTTTCAAAATTTACTCAGTAGTTGAGTGTTTGCCCTAGTCTGAGTTCAAACCCTAGAACTACCACCAACAAAAAATCTAAACACAAGGCTATCTCAGACGTAAAAAATTTAATATGAAAATTATTATCTTCAAAATGTACTGTTTTGTTTACTCTTGAAAATGAAAAGATTAAATTTGGATATAGAGGTTAAGACAGGAAAAAAAAATCTATCAAAAGCTTAAAACTCACTGAGCTTCAGTGCCATCTTGTATATACAGCAGTCTTACTTACTAAAGGCTCTTGAGAACATCACTGTAAAGTATCATTTTCATAACAAGGATTCTGAATCATAAGGAAAAGTTTAAATTGCACTCCACCTATTTCCTTTGCTTAAGAAGCTAGTGATAGGGCTGGGAAGGTGGCTCAGTGGTAGAGCGCTTGCCTTGCATGCCTGAGGCCCTGGGTTCAATTCCTCAGCACCACATAAGCAAAAAGAAAACAAAGCTGGAAATGGTGCTGTGGCTCAAGTGGTAGAGTGCTAGCCTTGAGCTGAAGAGCGGAGAGACAGCGCCTAGGCCCAGAGTTCAGGCCCCACAACCGGACCCAAAAAAAAAAAAAAGAAGCTAGTGGTATATGTAGTATATTTAACAGAAAGGAAATGGTTTCAACTATTTAAAAAACTTAGTTATAAAAGTAAAATTAATTAATTCAATTAGTGTAGAACATTCACTGTGTGGAGAGATTCTTTTCTTAGTCCCCTCTCAAAAAAGTACTAGAAATGTGGTCCTCTTCTAAGTGTCTACTATAAAAATTATTACATATTATGATAGAACTCTTTCTTAGAACACTGAGAACATATTCTGTGATTTCTGAATTTACCAATCATTTCAACACAAATTTTGTTTATGCCAAAGTAAACATATACTATTTGCTTATATGAATATTTTATTACTAATCTTAATTATTTAGATTAAAAATTACTTGGTATCTGGTTATGCCAGAATTAACTGTGTACATTGTATTCAAAGGAGATCAGTTGGTGATAATCTGTTTATGTTCTTCATATTCACAGGTATTTCATGACTGTGTAACTTTCCAGGAGTACTTGTAATACACATTATCCACTGTAAATGGCTATTGTTCTGTGCTAAAATAAAATGCTAAATCAATTCAAGGCAACAAAAACTGATTATTATGACGTACTCTGCTTAAGTCACCATACTAGCCTTGTTGAATACCTTTAATTAAATACTGTTAAGCTCCTTTTGGCAAAAAGGGAAGTACAAACTGAATGTTTATAAATTTAGTTTCATTTGTTCAAAATTAATGTAAAGGAAATATGCTATGTTCAATTATGTGCCTTTACAAAACATACTTGACATTTAAAGTCCTTAATTGTAACCTAAATGAATGCTGAGAATCAGAAAGTAGAAGAAAAACTGCAGCTATGTAAGCTGAGGGTACATTTTCTGTAGTAGGATTCAAAATATGAACATAATTTTTGGACTTCATTGCTCTAATGTAAATATTTGCTTTTAATATTTTTAGGTTATATGGTTATATATTTTTAGGACATTATGGATGTAGACCCACAAAGGTGACAAAAATGATTTTGTAATAAACACTCTTATTGTTTTTAGACTGTTCACCTTTTTATAGTGACATAGTAAATACAGTTTTTAAATTCTAAAAATATCAATAACCAAGAAAGAAATCACCTTATTTTTCCTGAGGGGTGAAATCAAAACCAGGGTCTCCTACATGCTGAACAATTATTTATTACTTCACACCTCCAACCAAAAACTCATTTCTTGTTTTTATTGAGAGTATCCTTGAAGGTTTTTTTGTTTTGTTTTGGTCAGTTGTGGGGCTTGAACTCTGGGCCTGACTGCTGTCCCTCAGCTCTTCAGCTCAAGGCTAGCATGCTACCACTTGAGCTACAGCTCCACTTCCCATTTTCTGGTTGTTAAGTGGAGATAAGAGTCTCATGGACTTTGCTGCCCATGCTGGCTTTGAACAGTGATCCTCAGATCTTAGCCTCCTGAGTAGCTAGGATTACAGGCGTGAACCGCCAGCACCTGGCTGTAGTATGTTTTTAAAGCAGTAATTTATATTTCATGTGAAGCACTTAAATTCTTAAAAAACATTGTAATTACAAAATGATCAAAGGTAAACATTTAAAAATCCTACTCTATAATATCTGCTGACTTCAAAAATTATTTCAAGTCAATAAACTTTCTCCTCCATTCTTAATTTAAAAAAAACTGCAAATGATATATTTACATGATCAGATCAATATAAAGAAGCAAATAAGACATACTCAACAACCATTAGTCAGCTGAATTTGACCACTTTAAAGCTTTTTAACACAAGACAAATCAGTTAATTCCTTAATACTCAAGACATTTACAAGTTTATTTTCTTTTTTCTTTTTTTGTTGGTCGTTGGGCTTGAACTCTGGGCCTGGGTGCTGTCCCTCAGCTCTTCAGCTCAAGGCAAGTGCTCTACTATTTGAGCCACAGTGCTACTTCCACTTTTCTGGTGGTTTATTGGAGATAAGAGTTTCAAGGACTTTCCTGCTCAGGCTGGCTTTGAACCGCAAGCCTCAGATCTCAGCCTCCTGAGTAGCTAGGATTACAGGTATGAGCCACCAGCACCCGGCTGACAATTAGTTTTAAGAGAGCTTTTGATCATTGGAAGAAATGACAATGTACACTGCAACAAACTGCCAAGCATTTAAAAATTTAGAAAATACTGTTAAATACTACACAAATTGAAAAACATCCGTTTTTGGAGTCTAAAGTTTTTGCACCTTCTGAATTGTATCCTTTTGAATTAATTAATTTTATGCGCATGTTTGTATGTATGTGAGTTTATGTGTTTATGAGAGTAATATGTCACTGAAATTTTAACTGCTTGTTAAGAGATTGGATCTGGAGCCTTGAACCTGAGTTCAAATCCCAGCACCATTGTTTACTAGTTGGGTGACTTTGGTAAGTAAATGAACATTACTGTGCTTTAGTTTTTTTTAATCTATAAAATGGACACAAATAACATTACTATTTTTTGGTAAGTGTTATGAGGATCAAATATACAGATGTCACTTAGAAGAGAGTGTCTACATAAACTAAGTGTCACTGACGTGTAAGCTAAGTGATGGTTTTGTCTCTATACTGTACTGCTTTATCATTCCAGTTTGATGTCTTTTTCTCTCTTCTCTACTACTCCCCCTCTTTTGATTGATGGGCCTGGGCACTGTCTCTGAATTCTTCTTATACAAGGATAGCACACTACCACTTTGAATTACAACTCCACTCCCAGATTTTAGGTGGTTAATTAGAGAAAGAGTATCATAGTTTTTTATGCCTGAGCTGACTTCAAACCACAAAATACGATCCTCAAATCTCAGCCTCCTGAGTGAGGCTGAGGGCCAAGAGGGCCCAGCATGTAGTTTGATGTCTTTTTAATATCCTTACATGGCAGACAATTGTTACTTCCACAATATTTTCTGGAAAACTGATATTCTGGTTTTTGAATATTTAATCACTCCACTAACAGATTCCCAGTTTACTCATCTTAACATTAATCTGACCCAGAACATTATTCACTCTGGCTGCCAAGCTCAGTAATCATGTTGCTATCATACTCTAACAAACTTAAGACACTCAGGTTTTAAAGAAATTTTCATTACATATCACATTTTTGTACATAGTAGAAATAATTTACGTTACATTGAGTATGTGCTTCTGGAAAACACAGGAGTCATTTGTACCTATTTCTGTCAAATTCATTTTATCCAGGTTTTATTCAACATAAAAATATCCAACTGTATAATTAATCTGTAAGTTTTAATGATTTCATACACTGGAAAAAACTTTAAATGAAAGCACTGTACGAAGATATTGAAAAGACTTCATAAGAAAGAAATTTCTATTAAAATAACAAGCAATTAAAACATTCATTAAGTTTTAAAATCAAGTAACAGAGTAGATCACCTCTTTCAGAAGTAGACAGATTTTTTTATGAGACTATAACGCTTCCTAAAATATTCACTGAATGACAACCATTGAGATCTTTTTTACCTGATGGCCCGGTTTCATGACTTTTCTCTTCAGACTTGCCACTAGACTTGAAAGCTCTCTGTTCATCCACTTCATCATCACCCCACCAAGATGGCTGCCCATATAATGGAGTGCCACGGGGCACAGCAGAAACATCTGGAAGGTGAAAAAAAAATGTGTCTAAAGTAGATGAAACAACAACATACTTTTTTACATAAGACTACAAATTGTTCAGTTGATTAAAAGTTCTCTACATTGAACGAAAACTCAGAAGATTTTTGTTATTTATATGGTTAAGAGTTCTTAGCATATAAAGTACATAACTGAGCCATTTATAAGCCCATTCAACTTGAAAGTATAGACAGAAGTGTCTTCAGCAGTGTTAAAACTAGGCAATTAGCTAGGAAAGAATGAAACCAGTCATCAGAATTGTCATTAGTGGTAAATGCTAAAGGTGAAACTAAAATATATTACTTTCTAAAATTTATAAAGCGCGAATTTACACTAGCTTTTAATACTTTTTTTATAGTTCCTGCAACTGTAATTAATTTGATAACATTTTGATGATGCAAAAATCATCAGATTTAAAACTTTTTCTTACATGACAAAACAGGAAAATTACAGAGCAATTTCTTTGATAAATCCAGATGCAAAAATTCTCAACAAAATACTTGCAAACCAAATTCAACACATTGAAAAGATTGTAATATACCATGAAAAAAAGTTCCTTTTAATTTCAATTATGAAAATTATGAAAAATGCAAACAGAATATACTGATTTCCTTCTAATATTTAAAATTATTTCTCCTAAATAAGAATATTAAGCATAACTGCATACAATTGCAACAATTATGTTTTCTTTGATTTTGGGTTATGAGGTTTGAAATCAGTCGTTTGACCCATGCCCCTTAGACCTTTTCTCCATTTTTTTTTTTTTTTTGTCAGTTGTGGGGCTTTAACTCTGGGCCTGGGTGCTGTCCCTCACCTCTTCAGCTCAAGGTTAGCGCTCTACCACTCTGAGCCACACCACCACTTCCGGTTTTCTGGTGGTTTATTTGAGATAAGAGTCTCATGGCCTTTCCTACCTGAGCTGGCTCTGAACTGCGATCCTCAGATCTCAGCCTTCTGAGTAGCTAAGATTACAGGTGTGAAGATTACAGGTGTGAGCCACAGGTGCCTGGCTATGTTTAGTTTTTTATTTTATTTTTTTTGTCGGTTGTGGGGCCTTCACTCTGGGGCCTGAGTACTCTCCCTAGCTCTTCAGCTGAAGGGTGGCGCTCTACTTCTTAAGCCACAGCACCATTTCCGGCTTTTTCTGCTTATGTGGTGCTGAGGAATCGAACCCAGGGCCTCATGCATGCAAGGTAAGCACTCTACCACTGACACACCTTCCCAGCCCCCCATGTTTAATTTTTTTGGATTTCTATCCTGGAGGCTGGTCTCAGACTATACTCATGTCTCTTAGGTATCTTGGATGAACCACAATGCCTAACTTGTTGATTGAGATGGGGTCTTGCTCACTTTTTGTCTGTGCTTACCTTAAACCACCATTCTATTTATCTCTATACTTCCTGGGATTACAGGCATGAGCTACCATACCTGGCTGTGCTTTATAATGCTTAATAATGAAATCATCAGCTGCATTAAGATACACTGTGGAAGCCGGGTACTGATGGCTCACTCCTGTAATCCTAGGTTGAGATCTGAGGATCACTGTTCAAAGACAGCCCGGGCAGGAAAGTCCATGAGACTCTTATCTCCAATAAACCACTCAGAAAACCAGAAAAAGTGCTGTGTGTCTAGTAGAAGTGCTAGCCTTGAGTGAAGAGCTGAGGGACAGCACCCAGGCCCAGAGTTCAAGCCCCATGACAAAAAAAAACACTGTGAAATCATCATTTTTATATGTGTACATTTTTATATGTACACAGCAAGCTGTTTTTGTTTTTTTTTTTTTGAGAACTAATGTAATTTCTTCCAAGTCAAGTATAGTAAGGTGTTTTTGGGAAATGGGCTTACCTGTGGATTTCTCCTCAGCCTTCAAGGCCTCTGTGGCTTTGTGTGGCACTTCTGAAGCAGCATCTGCAACCTTTGCATCCACACTTTTGGCACTTGCAGATTTTGACAATTCTGATTCTGAAGATTTCTGAGACAATTGAAGCTGAATAGTAAACTTCTCATGCTAGGAAACATTTAAAAATTGAAGTGATACATCGTGAATGAAAGCAAGCCCGCAAATGCTTTGTCCATGAAAGAAGGGTGAGTTTTACCTTAAGAGCTTCCTCAGGGACCCTCAGCTCTCCTCGAACTACAGTGAAAAGATTTGTATGTAAACGGGGCTAAGGAAGAATAGAACTCTGAAATCTTGGTAACCAGCTTCAACCTAATTTAAAAGACTGCCTTAGTTCAAGGACTAGCCACAGTGGAATATGAATAGAAAATGTTGAACATACTTACAAATATAAAAATTTCATCTTAAGTACTTTAAAAATCCCTAGAGCAAGTATTTCTAAACTTTAGGTAATATTGGCTTTTAAAAAACAAATAAGGAATTAATGAGAGCTCAAACATATTTTAATTTTTGTAAAATGACCCGTTTATGATGAAGAAAAAGCACTGAGAATCAAGTTTTATTGATGAAAATATAAGTCTGCCTTAAGTGATTACTCAACAGCAAATCCTGAAGGAATTTAATTACTCAGATTTTCATGCATTTGGATAAAAATAAAGTTCATTTTACAAGTACAAAAGAAATGCTCTAACTAAAGTCTTATGACAACCACTACTCCTTTCAACCATGTACTGTAAACCAGGGTCACATTACATTATCAACAACAGATTCCATACAGATTAGAACACAGTACTAGCTATGAATGCCCTCATTATCATGCCCCAAGAATAATGCCTCTGTACATTTAAAAGATTTACTAATGATCTTATTCCCCCTCATTACTTCACCTGTAAGGAAAGGACCTTTAAACCATGCACTACAATCCATTCTTCTGTATTAATTTATAATACTCATCTATCGCTTCTAGGGTAGAAAATTAATTAGCATGACTAATTGGGGGTAAAGGCAACGTCCAAAACATAATAGAAGCAGTAAACTTACTAACACAACTGTTTAGAATTGTGATGAACTTTGGAGAATGTCTAATCAAATCCATTAACTTTTGTTCTTGTTTTACTTTAGATAAAGATTTGGGTACAGGAGAGAGAGTAGCTAATACAAGCATCTAGTTACAGAATCCAGCCCAGGGCTTTCCTATCACTTCATATCGCTCCTAATAGCTTTGAAATACTAAAACTTTCCTTTTCTGCTAAGTACATACACTGTCCTATATCTGCTGGTATCTATAGAACACACACCTCATAACTAAAAAATAAGTAACTATTAGCAATATTTTACCCCCAAGACTCTTAAATTGTCTGGAAAATATTCACAGCATTTCTACCTTTTTAATGGAAATAATAGCATTAAGAAATTGTAGGGATTTGCTCTCGATAGGAAACGTAAGTAATTCTAGTATTTTGTAAGGACTTCCTGGGCTTCAGGTTTACCTCTTGGTAATGTGTGAAGGTTATTATTTAGGGCTAGTCTGGGCTGTCCTGAGATTTAGATGGGTTTTAGGTCAGAGAGGAACTGAGAGGGCCCATGCCTCTTAGTTCAAATACTTTAATTCTAAAAAGTTGCTTGAAGGTGGACATAAGACTACCTCAAGAGTTCTTGTGTATGTCATCAATTTATCTGTGAACTTCACATACCTACAGGATTTGGAGAATATCCAAGCCCAGGCTTCCTTCAAAGCTTATGGTGCAGCTCTAAGTTATTAAAGAGTTATTTTTAATTTGCTAATCAATAAAAATTTGATAAACTAAGCACAATTACTCATGTCAATAAATTACAAAAGCTTAAAAATTTATTATTAAAAATAATACTTAGGCCCAATTAACATTTATGGAGTGTTTGCTCTCAAACAGAATGTACATCCTTTTCACATAGCATTTATCTAGACCAAATTCTGTGCTATGGAAAAACAGCAATAAATTCAAAAGGATTTGAGATAGATTTTAGAATATATAACTTAGTAGTTCTGTTCACTGACTAAAAGAGAATTAAAAATCAATAACAGATCTCTGCAAAACTCTTCAAATATTTGGAATGAACTTATATAACTCAAAGAAGAGATCAAAAGGTTAATTAGAAAGCATACAGAACAGAAAAACAGCATTTAGGAGGAATTCTATAGCACTGAACACATGTATAACAAAAGGAGGTCTCATCTGAATGATGCCAATTACTAACTAAAAAAAAAAAAGGAAACAGAGACACCAGAATGCAATTTAGAAAGTAGAATGCTGCTGTTGCTAGTAGCTCATGCCTATAAGCCTAGCTACTCAGGGAGCTGAGAAGCTAGCCTAGGCAAAAAAGTCCCTGAGACTCTTTATCTCTAACTACCAGAAAACCAGAAGTGGAGCTGTGGCTGAAAGTGGTAGAGGCTCAACACTCACTGTACAACCCTGAGAAAGTTGTCTGGTATGAAACATTTGCCTTAAGACAATTTTAGATAAGACATAGACATAGTAGACATAGACATAGTTGTATTAGGAAAAATCTGCTAGTTTACTATATTACTGTGCAATATATATATAAATTATAAAGTATAAATTATTTCTTAAATTTTTTCTCCTTTTTTTCTGAGATGTCCTTAGCTTCTATCTTCGGGCTCAAGTAATCCTCCAGAGACTAGGATTAGAGACAGGTGTATAGTACAGTACCCATTTTATAGATTCTTCTTGAATTTGTATTCTAAATTAATTTCTTTCCAGTTTTATTTAAATCTGTTTTAATATTCTCATATATTTTAAAATATCTATATAAAAATTAAGGAGGTATAGAAATACAAAATATATTTGCATTTGATTGTCTGATAAAACTTATTCTGGTTGAAAATAAAGACTTACATACTAACATTCTTTAATGTGTATTCTTTTGTATTGCCTTTTATCAGTTATACAAGGGAGGAACATATTGTTACATTTCTACATGCTAAATGCATACTCTTACGTAAAACATACATACATGTGTATGTGTGTGCTGGGAGTGGGGCTTGAACTCAGGGCCATGAGCTCTTGCTGAGCTTTTTCGATTATAGTTGGTGCTGTACCACTTGCGCCATGCCTCCAGCTCTGAGATGTGTGTCTTGGATTTTTCTGCCTTGAAATTGATCCTTAGATCTTAACCTCCTGAGGAGCTAGGATTATAGGCATGAACCACTGGTGCCTAGTGGTATGTGTATTTTAAAGATTTTAAATAATCAACTGATAAATAGTTAAGGGGTTGATATTTAGATATTCATTTGGGTTTTCAAGAATAAATTTAAGATGTGCTACAAAATTTTTTCTAAGTTTACATTTAAATTTTAAATTTCACAATTTTTAAGTGTTAGTATTCTTTAAGTGCATTCACTGAGCACCACTACTTTAGAGAACACTACAAATTTCTCTATTAGTGATAAAATCCACCCAAACTGCCAATGTTCAATGCATTTTCTTTTACTACCGAAATCCAAAAATACACAGCAATTAGAAAGAGTTAAGTGGGTGTCCATGGCTCATACCTCTTATCCTAGCTACTCAGGAAGCTGAGATCTGAGGATTGCAGTTCTAGGCTACACTGACAGGAAAGTCTGTGAGACTTTTATTGCCACTTAACCATCAAAAAGGTAGAAGTTGATCTGTGGCTCAAGTTGTAGAGTGCTAGCCCTGAGCACACAAACTCAGGGGCAGTACCCATGCCCTGAGTTCAAGCCACAGAACCAGCATATTGTAGAGCACCTATATTTTAATCACATATAAATAAGTCCTTTGTACAAAGATTTCTGCCTTGTACAAATAGGAATGTTTTGATTCTTCTTCAATTATATTCCTTCCTACTACTGGAGCTTGTTTAAGCTACCCTATATAGAATAATACAATCCTGTCTCTATTTAGCTATTAAGACTGAAAAAAATATTTTTTGGGGAGGAGGGTAGAGGAAACTGGGATTTGAAGTCAGATTCTTGCAGTTGTTAGGCAGGTACCTTATAATTTTGAGCCACAACTCTAGCCTTTTTGGCTTTATTGTTCAGGAAGGGTCTCATATTTTTTCTAAAGTCAGCCTCAGGCTGTTATCCTACCACCTTCACTTTCCCGCATAACTTGAGGGACAAATATGGACCCATATTACCACACCAGGCTTACTGATTGAGGGTTCTTGTTAACTGTTTACCTGGGCTTGCAGTGAACCATAAGCTTTCTGATCTGCCTTCCAAGGAGCTGAGATTACAAACAGCAGGCCTATCTTTAAACAATAGAAATTCAAATACACACTAAACATCCAGAGTATTGTTATTAGAAGGCACATGATGCTGAAAGTTTGAATTAAATAGGTAACATAGATGTAATACCTAAAGGAGTTAGAGTAAGGGGAACAGTTGGAAGGAAAGGTAGGTTGAAATTCTTACATTCTCTCCAGGAGGTTGATGTGTATCACTGTAAACTACCTGAGAAGAATTCCTGAGCTGAGCAAAAATGAAATGTTCTCCAGGCCCTTTCTTCAGTTACATTCTTTGGTACACAAATTATATGTGTAACAGTACTGCAGGGAGACTGTTGGTAAGACTACACAAAGAGTAAGAGAAGAAATCTAGCCGAGTCTATCAATTTTTCAATAATTATTTTTAGGAATAGACATAGTAACTAAAAAATATTTCTGAATATGTATTATTTTAACATGGGAAGGGATCCAAGAAACAAATTTCTAATATATTTTAATAATTCTTCTATCTCAAAATGTTAATTTATACCAGAGCAAATATTTTTGAATACATTTTAATAAATGAACAAAATCACATAAGGATATCATATCCAAATCTCAGCTTATCTTCAAGCTTCAAAGTGATATAAGTCTGTTCTGGAATCCTTACATCATTCACAAAAGTCTGCAATTAGAAAAGATGTTAGGTTACATATGATGTATAATTTCGCACATTCCATGCAATCAAATTCTCAAACCTCATACATGTCACATATTGTATACATATACATATGGTGGCCAACACAGCTTGTGCATCTATCCTCAGATGCACTATGTATCCTACAGCATGATATATTATTCTATAGCAATCCTTTCTCAGTATTACTGACAGCAAACAAAGAACATGGTGCTGCCAAGATGAATATAGGCTCTTAGCACCATTCTGAAAATGATGCCAAGAAAGCTCCTACTCTGAAGCTGACAAACTGTAAAGAGAGAAATATTTAACTCTTAATATATCAAGCTTTACTGATTGCAACTGTAGCATTTAAGGAACACTATATTTGTGAGGATTGATATTTCATCACTTTTATTTTTAACATTATCCCAAAGAATAAAAAAAAACACTTAAGAAAAAAAAATTTCTTCCGTGTGCTGGTGGCTCAAACCTGTAATCCTAGCTACTCCAGCCTGGGCAGGAAAGACCATGAGACTCCTATCTCTAATAAACCACTAGAAAACCAGAAGTGGCGCTGTAGCTCAAGTGGTACAGTGCTCGCCTTGAGCTGAAGGGCTGAGGGACAGCGCCCAGGCCCAGAGTTCAAGCCCCATGACTGACGAAAAAAGAAAAATAAAATTTCTATGTTACAACTGCTAGATAGTGTCTCTGGATAATTTTATGAATCTAAGATACATTATGGAATTTTAGTGAAGTAATGTTTTCTATATTTTGAAAATCTGCTGGTTTATAAACATTTTAATTGTTTCATCTTTATTCAGTTATTTCTAACAATGCAAAAAATTACTTAAATAGTAATTACTTAAGATACTTAAATAGTAAGACAAAAAAATAGCAGAATCACCTTATACAGTAGTCATTATTCAACAGTATACTGCAAACCGTAAAATAAACTATGAACACTATTTAAATTTTCTAGTGGGAACAAATGAAGACAATGAGGAATAAAGTTAGTTTTAATAAAATACTTTTAATTTAACCCAGTATATTCCAAAAGTGTGCCATTTCAATAAACAATAAAGAAAAATCATCAAGATTTTTATATGCATGTGTATATAAAAATATATATACCCAGGTGTCAGTGGCTCATGCTTGCAATCCTAGCTACTCAGGAGGCTGAGACCTGAGGATCACAGTTTAAAGCCAGCCTGGGCAGGAAAGTCCGTGAGATTCTTTATCTCAATTAACCTCCAGAAAACCAGAAGTGGCACTGTGGCTCAAGTAGAGTGCTAGCCTTGAGCTGAAGAGCTCAGGGACAGAGCCCAGGCCTAGTTCAAGCCCCATGACTGACTAAATAAATAATATATGAATTATTTTTATTTTGGTACTAAGTCTTTGAAATTTTGTCTAGTCACATTTCAAGTACTCAATAGCGAGCCACATGGCTCATGGCTACTATAAAGAGAAGCACAGACCTCAGGGAATATGCCACAGTGAAACAAGTCATCATTTTATCATCCTTCAGTTTTCTTATTGCAAGGCCTAAAATACTACATGAGCTTTCCAAGAAGACATAAAAGACATCTGGCACTACTATCTTTGTGAGTTTTTTTTTTATGCTAAACTATCAAAGAGCACTAAGGAAAATTCAGAATTTCTGATTTAATGTCCATAAAGTAAAGAGAACAGGCAGAAAGATTTCTCATTTATAAAAAATATAACAAGACACAGATGGCACCATTCTATAGACTAAGATACAAAGATAAATGATACCATGAGAAAAATTATGAGGCCTTCAGGCCTTCAGAAAAAAAATGATCATATGTTAACTTTCTTTAACCCAAGAATCAGTGAAAATAGAATGTTTCTAAGGACAAAAAGAAAACAAGGTATATTCATCCAGTTATATATTCAATAAGAATCATACAATATTTTCTAATAAGAATCTGATTTTGTATTTTAAAAGAAATGTTTCCAGTATTTTTTTCTGAGTGTGTTCTGATATTTCTGTGGTACAGTTTGTAAGTCAACAAATGCTCAAAGCCAACTGTCTACTGCAAGGTGACTTAAGAGGAAAACTAATAATGTATATACAAAATGATGCAGAAATGAAATTATGAGATTTATCCATCTTCTACTTGTTTATAAATCTAAAAATAGAGTTTTCAAGAACAAAATAATTAAAACATAAAATGATTTGCTTTGAAAAATGAGTTAAATGAGTTAAAAAGCTATTAAAATTTTTAAAAAGCTAGTTGACCGTATCAGAACAAAAATAAACAAAAATAGTAATTTATAGCCAACTAGAGATGTACCTGACTCTTGGAACCAGCCAGTATTTAGCAAGTGGCAGTACATCACAGGTAAATGTATCCTACTTGGTAAGCAGTTGACTGCCTTCAAGTAACACTACTGTCCATTGAGTGCCTTTGAAAACTAGGAAAGTACAGAATAAAAACTTGCTTACCATACCTAAGCAAAATTTCAGATTGTTTTTATTCTTTCTGTATGCTTACTTCTATAAATTATTTGTGAAAAAACTTGAAGTATATGTGAAATTAAAAGATTCTCTGGACACAGATAAATGGTAAAAGGTGATGATTATTTCTGCTTGCATTCTGAGAGGTAAAAACTAGAATTCATTAGAAGAACACTAGAGCAAATGTGGAAATCATTTAAAGATTTTCTTTGGTAAATTGAAACTTTCCTTCCTTGTAAATTCCATTTCTCCATTCTACTTAATTTCAGAACACATGGAGAGCTTGTTTGGAAAAATTCCCCGTGGTGAGGAAGGTTAGAGGGCCTCCAGTGCTGAATAATAAAGTACATGAAAGGACTATACTATTATGGTCATATTCTCAAATTTCTATGCACAATTAGCTCCTTGTAATATGTCATAATAATAGTTCCTAGGTCTACAAAAGAAATTGGCTTGAACTCTGGGCCTGAGCACTGTACCTCAGCTCTTCAGCTCAAGGCGAGCACTCTACCACTTGAGCCACAGTGCACTTCTGGTTTTCTGGTGGTTTATTGGAGATAAGGTCTCATGGATTTTCCTGCCTGAGCTGGCTTTGAACCTTGATCCTCAGATCTCAGCTTCCTGAGTAGCTAAGATTATAGGCGTGAGCCACCAGTGCCTGGCTGAAATTGGTAATCTTAATTCCAATCACAGACATATAGAAACAGTTAATTACTTCTAAATCACAATTCAATCTGATTCAGAAATTATCTTTTTTTTTTTGGTCAGTCCTAGGGCTTGAACTCAAGGGTCTGAGCGCTGTCTCTGAGCTTCTTTTGCTCAAGGCTAGTGTTCTACCATTTGAACCATGGTGCCACTGCCAGCTTTTTCTGAGTAGTTTATTGGAGTTAAAAGTTACACAGACTTTCCTGCTTGGGCTGACTTTGAACTGTGATCCTCAGATTTCAGCTTTCTGAGTAGTTAGGATTACAGGTATGAGCCACGGGTGCCTGGTTTCAAAAGTAATCTTAAATCACAACTTTCCAACATACTGTATAGAGAGGTTGAAATGTGGAGCTGAGAGGGTGGCTCAGTGGTAGAGTGCTTGCCTTGCATGCATGAGGCCCTGGGTTCTATTCCTCAGCACCACATAAGCAGAAGAAAAAAAAAAAAAGCTGGAGAGGTTGAAATGTGAATGCTTCTGGGACTTATAAACTCCAAATCAGATTCATTTCTAAAATAAGCATGTCAGAGTGTTTTAAAGTTATGGTTTGTTGTTGTTGTTGTTGTTGTGTTTTTGTTTTTGTCAGTCATGGGGCTTGAACTCAGAGCTTGGGTGCTATCCCCAAGCTTTTACACTCAAAGTTAGAGCTCTACTACTTTGAGCCACAGCACCACTTCCAGTTTTCTAGAGGGTAATTGGAGATAAAGAGTCTCAAGGACTTTCCTGCCCCAGCTGGCCTCAAACCATAATAATCTTCATATATATCTCAGTCTCCAGAGTAGCTTATAATCACAAGCATGAGCCACTGGTGCTGGCTTAAAGTTATATTCTTAAGTTTATCAAAATACAGTATAATTACAAAACAGAAAAGCCCAGGAAAACAAAAGCATAAATACATTAATTCATTGATTTCTGTATGCAGAAGATAAACAAGTAGGTACCTAATTAAGAGGAATTTGGAGTCAATTTTATTTAGATCTATCTCATAGTCAATCAAAAATACATTTACTCAAAAGGCCTAAAATGACTATCAGACCCATTTAAAATTTGATTGCTCAACTCTCTTAAATATAAAGCATCCATAGGGTGACTTTATGTACCAGCCACTTTTCAGAGATCATGGAACAATTTTTAACATGCTATTATGACAGAAATATTCCCTAAAGTTTAAAAAGAGCTAGGAAATAAGCCAGACAAAATTTCAGCTCACAAACATGTAAGTCAAAACATCTGGGAGAAAATCTCCTGCAGGTCTAAAATTATAAAAGGAAGAGAGAAATTTTTAAATAGCAACAGGGAAAAAGTAATTCTAGTAAACCAAGTAAGAAACATGCTAAGCCTGGCGCTGGTGGCTCACACCTGTAATCCTAGCTACTCAGGAGGCTGAGATCTGAGGATCATGGTTCAAAGCCAGCCCAGGCAGGAAACTCCATGAG